AGCTGGGTCGGAGGAGAATCTTATGTTTTATTTTTATTATTTCCCTTCTACGTGACTTTACCGAACCAAGAATATGAATCAATGCAGTCACGAAAGCTTTAAATAGAAATTTAATCATTAGCTGTTCTTTTTTTGATTATTATTAGAACGCGTAACGGATTCCATGAGTAAGCATGGTTTTGCTTCCTTGTTCAAAAATACAATTTTGGGGGGATTAGGGGGGGGCGTAAGGGGTGGGGGAGAACAACGTCGTTTATCAGAGGAGGGGCACCCGGCTCGTCACGATAAGAGGGCGAGCGCTTCCTACGGTGGTCGGGTCGCGTTTATTTTGGGGCCCGGAAACATTTCCTGGACAAAAAACCCCCCTAAAATCCTGAATTCAGGTGAAATAGGAACACGTGGGTTGGGGGGGGAGTTGTTGGGGGGGAGGGGAGGGGTAAAGTGGGAATGTTTTTATATTCACGGACAAATAACTGTACGGTAGTCACCACCAACACTCGTATCGACATGAAAATGCCTCTTTAGTTTCCGCAGGAGGGCCTCGCTGAGCCTGTGCCTCCACCACAGTGAAGACAGAAGCAGAGGAAGAACATGTGTTTGGTACTGGAGGAATCCGATAAGCTATAAAGCTCTTTTTCGCAGATGTCCAGTCGGGGCGGGTACGAGCGTTACAACACAAACACGATAGGAGTGTAAAGCATCGGTAAAATTGAACAAATCACTGAAAAATATCCAAATGAAACGTTTTTTTTTATCTTACCGGGTAAAACCGACCGTGGTGTTCACTTACTCCTCAGAAGCAACCTGGCCACAAATGATAGCTCAACAAAGCGGCTCATCATGTGGACATCTAAAGCAGTAAAATAATCAAAATAATGTCAGTGCACGTCCCAGTGAGGTTGGTGTGGACCCGCGGATCCCATCGGCGAGAGGTTTGGATTCGTTGAGTGGGGAAAGCGGAGAAGCCCTCAGAAAAACTCAGGTGACGCTTCAAATTCGGTAGATGGATTCAAGAATCAATTGGTGTGCTGCCATGGTGGTGGTGGAGGGCTGACGGTGGTGATGGGTGGTTAGCGGTAGTGGAGTGGTGGTGGTGGGTGGCGATGGTGGTTATTAGTAAGGATGATGCTGATGGTGGTTGTGGTGAGGGTGCTGGGGGGTGACCATGATGGAGATGGTGGCAATCTTGATTAGAAGTTTTCGTGACTGCAGGGATCCATACTCTTTGGTTCTTTCGGTAAAGTCACGTGGGTAGAAAATAAAATAAATCACGTTTCGGACGCTTGTGTTGCGCCCGAAGCGTCGTGATTTATTTGTATTTTATACCTACGTGACTTTACCGAAAGAACCAAAGAGAGATGATGGCGGTTGCTGTTGTTGTTGGTAGTGGTGGTGACGTCAGAATAACCACGTGGTGACAAGGAGGGAAATCGTGGCTCCACGGAGTCTTGGTCAGACCGGGCCGGGTCACAGACGCGACGCACATCGTTGTTGACCTCCACGTGACCTCTTGACCCATATAATAATGGGAGGTGTGGACCGGTGGAAGTGTGCCATGAACCCAGCGACCTGAATTTGATTCGCGCCTGCGGATATCACCATTAATGACGAGCTACATCTGAACCGATGGTCTCCCAAGCCTCTTTTAGCCGCACGAGTGGATGGATCCAAGGGGGGGGGATATCGCCCTCACCCCCAACACTGCCTCCTTGAGACCCAGGATATTTGTTCTATTGATATTCATCATCGGAGAAAATGCATCTACTGACGGATGCTTGTGTTGCGCCCGAAACGTGATTTATTTTTATTTTATTTTATACCTTCGTGACTTTACCGAAAGAATCAAAGAGTATGGATTCCTGCAGTCACGAAAGCTTCAAATCAAGATCTACGGAGATGTTTTTTTCAATGTAGGTGCCCTGTTTAACCCGCACAGACCAGCGTGGTGAAGTATGGTCAAGCAACACCCCCCCCCCCCCCACTCAACAACTCCCACGGCGTAGGGAGGCCTTCATCCAGCAGTGGACTCATCACGGCTGATGATGCTAATGGTACTAATAATGATGATTCACAGATGTATGAGTTACATTCATTGAAAAAATAACACGCGGAGAGTGATGGTTAAATGATCAGCGAACTGCAATTACGGGGTTGCTGGATAGGTTCGATTCCCGCCCGAACAGCAGCAGCAGCAATGATGATGAAGATGATGGTTATGATTATGATGTTGATGGTAACAATAACTGATCATTCATGTTCATTTAAAACGAACCTCAGTAAATACATCTTCATCGCCACGACAACAACGCGGCTGTGTTGTTGTTGGGGGCGCGACGTAACTCACGGACGCGACGCTGAAAAAACATTGCGGGAATACGTCGCGATTTCATTCTCGCTCAGCGCCACGGATTGTTTGCAAAAGCAAATATCAGCTGGACTCCACTCCCCGCGTGTCTCCACACACACACACAGTATGTATATGCTGTCAAACAAAACACAAAGATCCGCCCCCACCCCACCCCCCGTATAGTTTGGAACAGACTGTTGGGGCAAGTGCTGTTAGCGAGTCGCTCCTGTGAAGGCCGGCACTGTGGCACACGAGGGGGTGGGTGGCCAACACCACGCCCGGCCGCCTTTGTCTCCCCAGTGGCGATGTTTACACACCCTACCAGATACTCATTTGAGGCTGAGTCAATCTAGGGGAAGCCCAGGACCGGTTCAGAAAATCATCCGGTCGCCAGGTTTCCTAGCGCAGCGCACTTACCGCTACACGAGCGCTCCCCACATATGAAGTTAATATATTCGGAAGATTTTAATTCGTCGGCCTGTCGGCTATCCGAACGAATGTTAGTTTCAAGAGGCGATCGCGAGGCCGGTTTAAGACTTTTTTGCGTGGAGGAGTCGTCTCGGGCACGTTCTCTCCTCCTTTGGCTGCCACTCCGTCGTTTGTCTCGACCACCGGCCATCAACATCACCACCATCATCACCATCATCATCACCACCATCATCATCATCACCACCACCGTCATCATCACCCCGTTCACTGCACCTCGGTTGACAGGTCCGCCACCTCGCCTGCTCCGAGGGTGACTGGCACTGCCGAGTTCATCATTGGCGACGCGCAGAGGCCCCACAGCCCTATGCGTAATTTACACTGGGCGGGGGGGGGGGGGTGAGACATACGAGGTGAGGGACAAAAAAAGTGAGTGTGGTGACATCTGAGATGTGGTGGCATCTGAGATGTGGTGACTATCAACTGTCTCCCTTACTCAGAGCTTGATTCGTCGTGGTAGTGATAGTGAATGTGGTGTTGGTGACGGCAGTGCTGGTGATAGTGAATGTGATGGTGAATGTGGCGTTGGTGACGGTGGCGGTGCTGGTGATAGTGAATGTCGTCGGGTTCGGCGTCATCCTCCTAGTCAGCGACCCCGTCGTTGACCCCGTCGTTGACCCCGGCGGTTACCCCGGCGGTGACCCCGGCGGTGACCCCGGCGGTTACCCCGGCGGTAACCCCGTTGCAGTTGCCGCACGTTTTGCCGCAGCTGCAGCGCTCCGCGTTGCACGGCCTGCCCGCCCGCCGGCACCCGCACAGATTATCGCGGCAGCCTCTCTTGCAACGGCACTGCGGAGCGCAGAGGCACCCCCCCCCCCACCACCCACAAACACGCTTAGTATGGCGGCAGCAGCAGTAGCAGCAGCAGCAGTTGTAGCACATGTGTGCGTGTGCACGCGAGCGTGCACGTATGTGTTGCGTGCGTGTACGTGCACGTATGTGGTACGTGCACGTATGTGGTACGTGCACGTATGTGGTACGTGCACGTATGTGGTACGTGCACGTATGTGGTACGTGCACGTATGTGGTACGTGCACGTATGTGGTACGTGCACGTATGTGGTACGTGCACGTATGTGGTACGTGCACGTATGTGGTACGTGCACGTAGTGGTACGTGCACGTATGTGGTACGTGCACGTATGTGGTACGTGCACGTATGTGGTACGGCACGTATGGGTACGTGCACGTATGTGGTACGTGCACGTATGTGGTACGTGCACGTATGTGGTACGTGCACGTATGTGGTACGTGCACGTATGTGGTACGTGCACGTATGTGGTACGTGCACGTATGTGGTACGTGCACGTATGTGGTACGTGCACGTATGTGGTACGTGTCACGTATGTGGTACTGCACGTATGTGGTACGTGCACGTATGTGGTACGTGCACGTATGTGGTACGTGCACGTATGTGGTACGTGCACGATGTGGTACGTGCCCGTATGTGGTACGTGCACGTATGTGGTACGTGCACGTATGTGGTACGTGCACGTATGTGGTACGTGCACGTATGTGGTACGTGCACGTATGTGGTACTGCACGTATGTGGTACGTGCACGTATGGGGTACGTGCACGTATGTGGTACGTGCACGTATGTGGTACGTGCACGTATGTGGTACGTGACGAGTGTCGGCACGTATGTGGTACGTGCACGTATGTGGTACGTGCACGTATGTGGTACGTGCACGTATGTGGTACGTGCACGTATGTGGTACGTGCACGTATGTGGTACGTGCACGTATGTGGTACGTGCACGTATGTGGTACGTGCACGTATGTGGTACGTGCACGTATGTGGTACGTGCACGTATGTGGTACGTGCACGTATGTGGTACGTGCACGTATGTGGTACGTGCACGTATGTGGTACGTGCACGTATGTGGTACGTGCACGTATGTGGTACGTGCACGTATGTGGTACGTGCACGTATGTGGTACGTGCACGTATGTGGTACGTGCACGTATGTGGTACGTGCACGTATGTGGTACGTGCACGTATGTGGTACGTGCACGTATGTGGTACGTGCACGTATGTGGTACGTGCACGTATGTGGTACGTGCACGTATGTGGTACGTGCACGTATGTGGTACGTGCACGTATGTGGTACGTGCACGTATGTGGTACGTGCACGTACGTGCGGTCACCCCGGAGAGCTGGACCCGCTCGCTGGGCTCCTCGAGCGGCACCCCGTGCGTGCGCGTGACCCGCGACGAGTCCCGGCTCTCCGTCTAGGACAGGGTGTGGTGGGACAGGGACACGAGTGGTCGCGCACGGGCGGAGGGACGCCGAGAACAAAAGTCGAAGGCCCCCCCGCCGTGTAGCCTCTAACGCCGTAGGGGCAAGAGCCGTCGGTAGCCAGTAGCAGCAGCGGCGGCGGGGGTGGCGCCGACGAAGGTAGACGCGGACAAAGGTCCCCCATGTAGCCTCTAGCAGACGGGTGGGGCGAGTGCCTCTAGCCGTCATCGCCGTCATCGTCACCGTCATCGTCCTGTTGCTACTCACTAACCCCCTCCAGCTACGATGAGGCCTACCGCCGACCCAACCCCTACCACTACTCCTTTCACAAACACCAACCTAACCCCTACCACTACTCCCCCCCCCCCCCCCCCTGATTACTACACCCCAACCCCCCCCCCCTCCGTTTGCTGCCGCTGCTGTTGCCCCCGCAGCAACTCGCAGCATCCGCCGCCGCCGCCTCACCGTGTCGCACCGGTTGCGGCAATTGGGGCGGCACCAGCAGCGCCCCGCCTCGCATGCAGAGCCAGCAAGGTGGCACCCGCACCGATCATCGCGGCAGCCACTCTTGCAGCGCCCCGCCTCGCATGCAGAGCCAGCAAGGTGGCACCTGCACCGCCTGGTGAAGCAGCCACTCTTGCAGCGGCACTGCAGAGCACAGAGGCACCCACCCCAACCACCCACAAACACGCTTAGTATGGCAACAGTAGTAGAAGTAGCAGCAGTAGTAGCAGTAGTAACAGCAGCAGTAGCAGTAGTAGCAGCAACCCGCAGCAGCAGCACGTGCACGTACACCAGATTCAGCAGGTGGAGCAGCCCGCTTTCTCAGGGTCGGGATCGAACCCACGACCTCCTGCACACCAGGCGAGGTGGTTAACATCTCGTAGCCACCGTGGTGATGATGATGATGAGAGAGACACACAAACTCCAAGAACAGGGTCGGGATCGAACCCACGACCTCCTGTACACCAGGCGAGGTGGTTAACATCTCGTAGCCACCGTGATGATGATGAGAGAGAGAGAGACACACACAAACTCCAATTATACAGCAGCAGGCATCAGGGTTGGGATCGAACCCACGACCTCCTGCACACCAGGCGAGGTGGTTAACATCTCCTAGCCACCGTGATGATGATGATGAGAGAGACATACAAACTCCAATTATACAGCAGCAGGCAGCAGGCATCAGGGTCGGGATCGAACCCACGACCTCCTGTACACCAGGCGAGGTGGTTAACATCTCGTAGCCACCGTGATGATGATGATGAGAGAGACACACAAACTCCAATTATACAGCAGCAGGCGTCAGGGTCGGGATCGAACCCACGACCTCCTGCACACCATGCGAGGTGGTTAACATCTAGCTACCGTGATGATGATGATGATGAGAGAGAGAGACATACAAACTCCAATTATACAGCAGCAGGCATCAGGGTCGGGATCGAACCCACGACCTCCTGTACACCAGGCGAGGTGGTTAACATCTCGTAGCCACCGAGCGCTGCCGAGCCGCCGACGGCGCGGTGAGGGAAGAGACCCACGGCCGCCCGACCGCCACTCACTCACGCAGCATCGTGGCAACGTTCTTGTAACTTGGGCCCCTTATTGAGTCCAAGACGTAGATGCAGGGCCTGCACCCCTCCTTTGCCATCTCCTTTTCCTGGAGCCCAGGGAAGCAAATTACGGCCAGGAACCAGTGGGAGCTGTACAGAGACACACAAACACACAAACACACTCGTCCCCACGCCGGTCCCCGGACCGCCGCCGCAATCTTCAACGATGTCATCGTTTGTCTTGGGCCACCACTCACCACTGGTTCACTGGCACAAAGACGAAATCTTTACTAAAGATGTCCACGTTGCGCGTCCAGCTGTTGACGCGCGAGTGCCTCTGATGGGGAAGCCTGGCACGCAGAAGGTCAATAAGACTTTCACTTAGATATCCGCTCACCCGCCGATACACTCGCTCGCACGAAGACAAAGATCCCCCAGACAGCAGCCTGCACGGCACACGAGGGGGTGGGTGGCCAGCACCACGCCAGGCCGCCTTTGTCTCCCTAGTGTTGTTTTACATATCACACCGGGTACTCATTTGAGGCCGAGTCGACCTAGACAAGGTCCAGGACCGGTTCAGATAATCGTCACCGGTGTTGGCCGTGAGCGAGAATCGAACTCGGGCCACCGGGTTCGTAGCGCGGCGCTCAGCGCTGCACTAAATCTTGACTTGAAGCTTTCGTGACGCAGGAATTCATATTCTCGGTCAAGTCACGTAGATCGGTTCAAAGCAAACAACAAAAAAACTACGACGTTTCGAAGCTCACTTGAGGCCGGACGTCTTTTGTGAGCAGTTCTTGTAAGTCAGCATGGTGTAAAAGGAGCTGAGGATGTGTATCCGCTTCGATGTTGCCTTATCCAGCTTCTCCAACACCAGGTACCTGACGCCCGCCGCACACGCAGAGAGACCATCAACGCGTCACTGCCCGTGGAACCCGGGTGTTCATCGCCCCCCGCGATCTCGGCGCTCCTGAGCTCACTCTGCTGCCCTAACCCCCTAACCCTATAACCCTAACCCCTAACCCTAAACCCCCAACCCTAAAGCCTAACCCCTAACCCTTTTCCCTAAACCTAACCCTTTGCTCTACCCCTAACCCATAACCCCTAACCCAACCCTAACCCCTAACCCTAAACCCAACCCCCAATTCCCAACCCTAAACCCTAACCCTTATCCCTAAACCCTAAACCCAACCATAACCCCAACCCTAACCATTTGCCCTAACCCTAACCTTTTGCTCTACCCCTAACCCTTAACCCTAAAACCCTAACCCCAAACCCTAACCCAAATAACCCTAACCCTAATAACCCTAACCCTAATAACCCTAACCCAACCCTAACCCAACCCTAACCCTAATTACCCTAACCCTAATCACCCTAACCCTAATTACCCTAACCCTAATTACCCTAACCCTAATTACCCTAACCCTAATCACCCTAACCCTATAACCCTAACCCCTATAACCCTAACCCTTAACCCAACCCTAACCCAACCCTCTCTTGTATTGACAAATTGTCAACTTTGCACCTTAACGTTTGTTCTTAAATACATTTCGGGAAATGATTTGGGGGGCGGGTTGACAATCACTGTCAGATTACACAAATTAAACTAAATCGATCGTGGGGAAGTATATTTCAAAAACCTCGTAAACAATCTATATTCAAGGAGCACATGGACCCGCCTAAATTACGCACAGGCTGCCGATAATCACCACGCAGGCCGCAATCTAAACACGTGTTGACGCAGTCACGACAGCTTCAAATCAAGATTGACGCACGATGTTAAACTTCATCTCTCTTGGGGATGTGTTATAGCCTCCTCCTCGCCTCATTACAATGAAAACAATGTGAGGATTTTGCACTTAAAATAGCTTTAATGATACACTTAGAAAAGCGACGGTCTGCCAGTCTAGCTATTGCTAATCAAGATGAGCTATTACTAACTCTAAACACAAGACAGGCCTCGTAACTTTGTTTGACAAAAAATTCCACCGAATGAGCTGGCAACTCACCTTGACGAGCTGGTTTTAATAACAACTTCGTTTAATACTCTTTGGTTATTTCGGTAAAGTCACGTAGCTAGAAATAATATAGAACAAATCGCGACGTTTCGATCGCAACACAGGCAGTCGTCATCACGGCCTTTGAGAAGTGCGTCACTAGCGCCTGAGACACGCGGCGCCTGCGATTTGTGCGAGCTGATTCCAGAGTTTAGGGACCGCGGCGTTTTGACCTACACATTGATGCCGATTTTGATACAGGCATGCATTGTCATCGGATCTGAGTACGTGTACAAAATGTGGAATTGATTGGACAACGGGAAGTGGACGAAATTTTGATTACAAGATTTGACCCAGACAAACGGAGGAATCAAGTTGAACAAGAACCACGTCCACGCGGTGCCCAGCCGAGCCACCACGACCGCCTCGTCGGGCCGCGTGCCCAGCGAGACGGCGCTCTGCGTGGGGCGTCCCCCCACCCACTGCCTACGACGCTCCCCGCCCTCCATCTCCCCCCACGCGACGTCTCGCTCCGCACGCATCAATCATCCTTGAGCCACCTGTCACGGCTCTCGTTGACCACCAGGCCTCTTACTGCTCGGTGCGCCCTCGTTCAGTGCCGCTTCCTTAATTAGTATCTCTCCCCTTTCTAATTTCTCTCAGCACCTGTGTTCATATTTAAATATATATTTAGTAACTCCGATTTTGATACAGGCATGCATTGTCACTGGATCTGAGTCCGTGTGCAAAATTTTGAATTGATTGGACAACAGGAAGTGGACTAAATGTTGATTACAAGATTTGACCACGACACAGGAATCAAGTTAAATGAAACCGCTGAAAAACCTTCTACTGTGTACTGTAGTTGTGCATTTGTCCACACGAGGGGAAAACGTGACTTGTGTGGCCCTATAGCCCTGACCATAATCTGTAATGCTCATATAGCCACCTCAACCCTATGGCCTTGTTTGAATTGAATATCTGGGTTGCATTCCACAATGATTGTTATAATTTCAGTTGCTATAGTTAAGTAATTTGAGAAAAGGGATTTTGAAAAGTAAATAAATGTCCCCCCCCCCATGCTGTCCGATGTTTGCCTATGTTTTTAGTACAATTCTGGGACGTATAAATTGCAAGTGCTCTTTGGGGGCTCATTTCACGATGGAAATGTTTTTTCAATCCCTCCGGACAATTTGTAGCCGACATATTTTGCAATCAGGAAATGTTAAAATTGACTCTGTGGACCTTTAGATTGTTCAGTAGTCAATGCCCAACAATCTTTGATCTACCAATGAAAGAGAATGTCATTTTGAGCACAGGGCCCCCCTTTTTGGAAAACCATTCAACTCAGTGGCTCAAATGCAACTGTTTTTGACTCGGGGGGCTTCATTGAGACAAGGGTGACTCGGTCAACATCAGTTGCAGTATATACAGATCTTCCAGACCATGTGTAAGTATGTTTTTCGTACAATTCTGAGATGCAGAAATTGCAAATGCTTTGGAAATGTTTTTCGTCAAACCCATGGACAATTTGTAGCCTCCATATTTTGCAATCAGGAAATGCAACAACTGGCTCTCCATGTCTATTGGTTGCAGTGTTATTGACAAGTAAATTAATGTCTTTTTAGCAATGTTTTTCAACAATGAGACTTTTTCCAATGGAAAATGCATTGAAAAATGGTCAACTTTGCACCTTCAACCTACCCTAATTAAATTGGGTTCGTGTGTCGATTTTTTTCTCGAGAAAAAATATATTTGTAAAATCACCCAATTTTATTTTATATATAGCACAGTATGATTAAAGTCAATTGGGGAATGAGCTTCTCATTGAAAAATTACACGTTAAAAATGTGGCTATTTTTTTGCAAAAAAACACGTAGTACTTCTAGATTTGAAGCTTCCGTGACTTCAAGGATTCATACTCTTAGGTTCTTTCGGTAAAGTCACATACGTGACTTTACCGAAAGAACCTAAGAACACGTAGTGAGTTTAATTTTACAAGTTTTGTTTCATACATCACGTAGTAAGACTAACGTAAACGGAGGGATTCACAGTGGCAAGAATGTAACGACCTTGCCTGGTATACAGGAGGTCGTAGGTTCAACCCCATCCCTCACACCTGCCGTATATTTGTAGTTTGATTGATCTCCCCATGGTCGTGGCTTTTTCCCTCCACATGCGTTTAGTGTATTTTACTGCTATGTCGATTTTTTACGCGGAAAAAATATACATGTTAAATTCCCCATTTTTTATTTTATATACAGCATTGTAAGATTAAATTCATGGAGGAATTAACTTCTCATTGACCCCTAACCCTAATCGTTAGCCATAACCCTGACTAGGCTAACAGGGTATATGGATTATTTTGAGAGTCCCTATTTCATTTCCGTGAGCCCCACAACCACTTCCTTGGTGTTCACATTCCAGGAGGAGGAATCGGAACTCCGAGATTTGGAATTGAGACTCCTGCTTTGGAATTTTGACTTCTTAGCGTTGCCTCAAATATGCCTTTAAACGCGTCTCAACGAGATTAGTTGAATCGCATATGGCTCGACTCTGTTGAGTAGAGTCGAAGGGCACACACCACTTGTTTGTGTGACTTGTGGAACCGGGGCGGCATTTTGCATTGAAGTCAATGATGGGTGTGATTGTTGCCGATTTGAAGCGCGCTGTTTGGGAATGCAGTGCTTTCACTATTTCAGCACCGATGTTCACCAAATATTCAATGGTGTAAACGTATGGAACAGCTTGGGATGTCAATGCAGTAGTTTGTTACTTGAAAATCCGTGAAGAAATAAAGAATTGCGGTGCAAATCGGCCGGGTAATCTCGTTTTTTTTTACCGGCGCTTGACGTGTTACGTGTGCCCTCTGGTGGACAAGTGCAGTATCACAAGCATTCAATTCGTGGTTACGTCTGCTATGTGGTGGACATGTGCAGTGTAGGTCAACACAGTACGCCAGCAGTTGCCGCTGTCAGACGTCCCCGCAGTTGTGAGTCGCTGGTGCTGCGGCGTCCTGGCGTTTGTCCCAAGCGGGTTGGCTGCGATGAAGCCGTGAAGACGCCGCACAGCGCCACTGCTGCTGTCACCGCGCCAGGCGCTGCAGTGGTACCACGTGACCACACGGTGGCGCTACAGCACCACGTTGGTGAAGTTATTGCAGCGAGTTTCCATGTTGGTTAGGATAGTTAGCGAGTTTCCATGTTGGTGTGTATGTTGACCTTCTTTCACACCGTACATTGCCAACCATGCTCATCGGAGGTGCGGGGGAAGGACAACAAACTAAGCACAAAAAGCAGTTCTAAAGAAAATGTATTTTCAATCTGGATTTTAAAATTGCGTAGCTCCAGTGACTTCCTAATATCGGAAGGAAAAACATTCCAGACGGCTGCAGAAGTGCATCTGAAAGCGTGCAATGCAGAGACCGTCTTTATTCGATGACTAGCCAAAAGCTGCTGCGAGGATGACCAGAGTTTGCGTGATGGTTTATGGTCTTTGATGATATCAGCAACGTATTGTGGTTTATTTGTGGCAAGCGCTTTGTATGTAATGAGTGCAACCTTATGATGTATGAGTTCAGCAACAGGAAGCCAATGCAGTTCGATGAGCACTGGACAGACATGGTCGGATTTTGCAGTACTCATCATGACGCCTGCCAAATAATTTTGTACTCGCTGCAGGTTGGTAATGTTTTTGCCAGATGTGCCGGAGAGTACTGAGTCGGAAAAATGGAGCCCTAACTGTAAACCTTAACCCTAACCCCTTACCATAATCCTAACCCATAACCATAACAACTTAACCGTAACCCTAACCCCTAACCCTAACCCCTCAAACTAACCCCTAACCCTAACACATAACCATAACAACTTAACCCTAACCCCTAAACCTAACCCTAACCCCTCAAACTAACCCCTATCCCTAACCCCTAACCTATAACCCATAACCCTAACTAACCCTAACCACTAACGCTACCCCTAACCCATAACCCTAATCCCTTAACCTTCACCCTAACCCCTAAGCTCTAACCCTAACCGCTAATCCTAACCCTTACCCTAACGCAAACCCTAACCCAAACCCTAACTCCTAACCATAACCCTAAACCATTATCCCTAACACCTAATCCTAACCCCCTAATCCTAAACCCTACCCCTAATCCCTAACCCTAAACCCTAACCCCTAACCCTAAACCCTAAGCCTTAACCCTAACCCCTAAACCTAACCCCTTGTGCCCGTAACCCTAAACCCTAACCCCTTGTGCCCATAACACTAACCCCTAACCCTAAACCTTAACCCTTAACCCTAACCCCTAACCCTTAACCCTAACTCCTAACCCCTTGTGCCCATAACCCTAAACCCTAAACCCTAACCCCTTGTGCCCGTAACCCTAAACCCTAACCCCTAACCCTAACACTAACCCCTAACCCTAACCCCTTATGCCCGTGATCTCATCATTTCGGTCATTACTCAAAGCAACGTAGATCGACTTGTAAACCGAGAGTTTTGTTCTAGAACTCAGCTCCAGCTTCACTACCACGGAACGGTACAGCGCCTGCATCACTGTGGACGCTGCACCGATCCGCCGGCCGATTTCCCACTCCTACTTACCATCACTCGCGAACAAAACCCCGAGGTACTTAAACTTCTCCACTAAGGGCAGCTGTTTCCCCCTCACCTGGAGAGCCCTACCACCGTCTCCCGGGCGTGAACCATGGCCTCAGATTTGGAGGTCCTGATCCTCACACTAGCCGTTTCACACTCGGCATCAAATTGTTAAAGTGCATGCTGGAAATGACAACGGTTATCTGCAAAAAGCAGCGACACCACCTCCATGCCCCGTAACGGATACTCTCCATACCACGGCTGCACCTTCATATAGTGTCCATGAAAATCACAAACAGGAGTGGAGACAAGATGCACCCTTGGTGGAGTGAACGACTTTGATTTAACACCAAGAATTATGGACACATCTCTCACTCCGGGAATAGAAAGACCAGATAGCACACACAAATGGCACTGGTACATCATACTCCCGCAGCATCTCCCACAAAACATTCCCGGGAACACGGTCATATGCCTTCTCCAAGTCTACGAAGCAGAGGTAGACTGGAAAAGCATTCTCCCATGACCCCTCAAATATGTGAGAGGAAACAGAGCTGGTCCATTGTTCCACATCCCTGATGGAATCCGCATCGTTCCTCCTGAATCTGAGACTCGACCACCGGGCAGAGCCTCCTCTCCAGCACTCCGGCGTCGGCTTTACCTGCGACGCAGAGGAATGTGTGATCCCTCTGTGGTGGGAGCACACCCTCTGGTCCCATTTTCTTAAAAATGGGGACCACGACCCCAGCTTGCCAATCCAGAGGTACTGTACCCACCTTCCATGCAACATTGAAGTGGCGTGTTAACCACTACACTGCATCACTGTCCAGCGCTTTTAACAACTTTGAGAGAATCTCGTCCACCCCAGCAACTTTGCTGCTACAAAGGCCCTCGACCGCCATAGCGACTACAGCAGTCGTAATTTATCCGAACCCCCCAGCTGTTGCCAGGGCTGCCTCCTGAGAGGAGGGCATGTCCACCGAGTTGAGCTCCTCAAAGTTTCCCTTTCACTTTTTGATTATCTCCTTAGTTGAGTTCAATGTTACGCCACCTTACTGAGAACAGTATGAGCCATGTCCCGTCGACCCCTCCTAAGCCGTTGGATTGTTTGCCAGAACATCTTTGAGGCTGCCCGGTAGTCCCTCTCCATGGCCTCTTCAAACTCCTCCCACGCCTGGGCATTTGCTTCAGCGACTGCTACTACTGCCACCCTCTTGGCAAGCCGATACTTCTCAATTGAGTTAGGAGACCTTTTTCTGAGCATAGGTCGGAAAGCCTCCTTCAACTTGACAGCTTCTCTCACCACTGGTGTCTACCAGCAGGTCCTGGGGTTGCCGCTATGACGGGCACCAACTGCCTTAAGGCCATAGCTTTTTGCAGCTGCATCGACAATCGAGGTCCTGAAAAAGACCTTTCCGCAGGTGGAAGTTGAAATATTTCGGCACTGGGTTCTCCGACAGACGTTCCCAGAAAATCCGCACTATTCGTTTGGGCCTTTCACATCTATCTGGTCAGTGCCCCAAGCGTCGGATCCAATTTACCACTAGGTGGTGATCAGTTGACAGCTCTGCCCCTCTCTTCACCCGAGTGTCCAGAACATACGGCATGAGGTACAATGATACAACTTCAAAGTCAATCATTGACCTTCGGCCCAAGGTGCTCTGTGCTCGAACATGGTGTTATTGACATTTTGTGACTAGCACAGAATTCCAGTAACATATCACCATTCGGGCTCAGATCAGGGGGGGGGCATTCCTCCCAATTACGCCTCTCCAGGCATCTCCATCGTTTCCCACGTGAGCATTGAAGTCGCCCAGTCAGACTGTGGAGTCGGTGGGCGGCACTCTATCGAGTACTGCACCCACCGTCTCCAAGAAGGCCAAATACTCTGAACTGCTGTTTGGAGCATAAGCACAAACAACAGTCAGAGTTTTCCTTTCTGAGACTGGAAGTCTCATTGAGGCGACCCTCTCGTCTACTGGGATGAACTCCAACTGAACAGCATCCAGCCAGGGCCTTGTGAGTATCCCCACACCCACCCGGGGCCTCTCACCAGGGGTTACTCCCGAAAAGGAGAAAGACCATCCCCGATGGAAAGGTTTGATTCCAGTAACAATGCTGTGTGTGGAGGTGAGATACCTTTCCACCTTCTCCTCCAGCACCAGCTCCTTCCCCCCTAGTGGATGGTGGGCCCTCAGGATGGCACCACATAGCCATTTCAGGCTGGGCCCGACCAGGTTACATGGGTCACCCGGCCAACAGGTGCTTGCCGGCGAACACCACCCCCAGGCCTGGCTCCAGGGGGGTGTCCCGGTATACGTTATCCGGAAGAGGTTTTTTGATTTTGGTATTTCATAACCATTCAGAAGGGGCTTTTGTTTGAACCGTTATGTGTCTGGAACCTAAGCACCCACCCACCCAGACTTGTTCGCCAAGGGAGACCCGAGCAGGAGTTCAATGCTCCAGGCGACATAGCTCTGAGGATCATTGGAACACATAAACCCAACCACCACGACAAGGTTACGATCTTTCGGTGGGGTTGGTTACGTTATTTAGCAGGCGTCCATACTGGTCAGGTTATTTAGCGGGCTTCCATGTTGATTCAGTTATTTAACGGGCATCGTTGGTTCAGTCGTTTAGCGAACGAGGAGGCCTCCTCTTCCCAGGGTTCAAGTCCCATTCCCACCTCCACCACCAGAGGTCGCGGAACGAGGCCACGCACTGACACGGCCACTCGGGGTGAAAGGTGGTCCTCTCGTGCATGTATGTTGAACTTCTTTCGCACCGTATGTAGCCAACCGAGCTAATCGGAGGTGCGGAAAAAATCGGAGGTGCTTCTGAAGAGGCGAGCCGCTAGTCTTGACAGAAGGGCCATTGCCCGAAACGTCGCCTGTACGCGTTGTTCTCTGAATGCCACAGGGTTATGGACGGATGCGCTGAGTTTGTTGTGAATTTCGGTCGTGCGCCGCTACCAACGCAACTTCACCCAACAATTCGCCATTGAGAGGGCACCGCGTGTCCGTGCGCTGCAGTGGCATCAGCAAGAGCAGACTCGAGCTCCTGCGTTCACTCGGACCCATATCTCACGGAGTGGTTCCCTGACAACAACATCTGGCAGATCACTAGCGTTGGTTCAAGCGAGCCTCACTGCTGATGAGACAATGAGTGACGCAGCCCGTCCAAGGTGTTGCTTGTGTTGAATCTATGCCGCCGAGATGCACTCTCAGAAGGCTGATGACGGGATGAATAGAGCCACTCGCATTGTTGACGTGGACAGGTTGGAGGCTGTTGTTCTGCTCGGTTATTGTGTCCCTTGCGATGCAGCAGCTGTAGTTGTGCCGTTGTCCACAAGCGGCCATCACGTGACTTGTGTGGAACCGAGAGTATAATAAACATCCACCTCAACCCGATAGCCCGAACCCGATAGCCATAATACTAACCCATACTTGGAGTTACGGGAGTTCCAATTCCATTTTAGGAGTCCCAATTCCATGGCACTGTGCATTAAGATATGTCATCAAAATGATTGATGTATACTTTGGGGAATGATGCTGCACTACGTGTTCAACTGATGCTGCACTACGTGTTCAACTGATGCTGCACTACGTGTTCAACTGATGCTGCACTACGTGTTCAACTGATGCTGCACTACGTGTTCAACTGATGCTGCACTACGTGTTCAACTGAGGCTGCACTACGTGTTCAACTGATGCTGCACTACGTGTTCAACTGATGCTGCACTGTAGTTAATTCTTACAAAAGCTGGTGGCGATCCAATCATCGTGGAGTGGCAAGTGCCCTGACCATTTGGCTCCAGCCCTCCTGCAGGCCATCATTGTACCGTCCTTCACATCTTTTGATTCTCCGTTTCCACTCCCAGGAAGTGGTGGCAGAGAATCCTATGAGATGCAAGTTTAATATCTTGGGTCCTACGCGTAGCCGCTTGATGTCGAGGTGTAACCACCAAATATGGGTTCGGTTTTTCAATCGTTGCATTTCCACATGAATGGAGAGTCTACACCGTTTGTATGCCCTGGTCACACAGCTTCATAAAGACAGCTCACAACTACCCATGAGCACATAAATAACAAAATCCTTTATACAGCCATGCGTGAACATCTCCCAAACAAAGTAACAGGTTTGCTTTGGTACGTAAAGTGGTGCATGTGTTAAATTAATAGCGTGCATATACATGTCACCATTTAAAAGTCCATAATTAAGTCCATGGCTGCCCGAGGCGTGCCCCCGAATAAACACACAATGAATGATGTCCATCTGTTTTTCAAAAAAAGTTAAAACTCGAAAATGCACCACATACTTTGAGCACAGGATAAGCCAATAGTCAGCTATATTCTTGCGTGTGGTAGTATGTTCAGACGCTACATACCAACTTCGAAGTCATCTGGCCACGAGACAGCTTCAGCAGAAAGTTGGTGTGGTTTTTCCATTCCTCCACTGAAAGAGTGCAAGCTAAGCGCTTCACGCTGTGGTCCACAGTTTGGGTTGCATGGCCATACTCGCACTGCTGTGTGTCTTGTCTTTAATTTCCCATTCGTGAAGCTGTGCTCATCAGCCTGTTGGTGCGAGGCGGTTGATGACCCACCGGTGTCTTCGAGAGCCAGGAGTTGTCCGCTGTTTGGGTCTCGAAGAGGTGTTTAGTCACCTGTGTAAATGCTGCATTGCGCTTTAAATACAATAGTTGGACATTACGCCAAGTATTTTGTTTCTAGTAGATAGTGTCTTCATTAACAATGTTTCTGTGAGCAGTGGCAATAGTTGACACTTACGTTTGCATGTTGCTTTCTGTATGTTGCCTATTTGCAGGTGTAATGACGTGCACGTGTCTGCCTCTCCACATTCAGCCATACATGGCTATTGGTTGCCAAGTGTCTCTGTCACGTTGCCTGGTTTTACTGAGTTTGCAAGTTTTCAAATTACTAAGTTGTTCATCCTTATGGAAATTAAACTTTTCTGGTCATTATTTATAATGGTAACACATTATTCGCTCAATGGAATAAAAATACAATTACATTATACAGTAAATTACGAGGTTGTTGAATAATGCACATGTCAATGTGATGCTTTGACTGAAAGTAAACTATGATACATTCAAAAGCAGCAACATGATCTTGCATAATATAGTTTGTAGGTGAATTAAACTAAACTAACTACCAGGTAAGACCTACTGAGTGACACAGTTCCCTTTCAGAAGTGACCTAGCCACAAACGATAGCGCGTTAAAATACCTTGTCCTGTGTACATGGATAAACACCACATACTCTTAATGCATGCTTCTAAATATGGAGGGAAAACCAGAGGACCTGGAGAAAAATCCACACAACCACGGAGAGAACATGCAAACTCAAAATATACAGGTGTCAGGGTCGGGATCGGGATCGAACCTATGGCCTCCTACATACTAGGAGAGGGAGTTAACATTTTGCCACCGTTTTTCTGTTGGGATGCAGTGTTGTGCAGGCATTGAACGCCTCCTCAAGTGCACACAGGGAACCTTTCCCATTGCCTTGCGGTAGTGATCGTGGTAATAATTGAAGGTGTAGACATATCGTGCATGGTGCAATTTGAGAGCATTTACGATAAGAACTTGCACTTGCAGTACACCTAAATGTATCATCTGGAGACTACTATGTAGTGCCTCGACTGTGTGATGAGGATCCGCTTTGACGATACGAATCAATGGATGATAAATTAGTCATAGACCGTTCTGTATACTCCTGCAATTTGCACGCAATAGTTGTCATAGAATCAGCATTGTTCTTTGTGTTAATTGTACAGAGCAACCAGCAGTACCAAGTGAAGTGAAAGCTACAATACCATTCAGAAATAATGATCACATTACAGAAAAAATGTAACAACTGATGTGTTGCAAATAAAAATACACGTTTAACATTTTCGAAAATACAGCATATTTTGGATTTACAAAGTCTCTGAATATGATTGAATCTCAAGACAATTTAGCCGAAGATAAATAGTAAAATTTGATAATAGTCTATGTGTAACTGTATGAAAGTGTTCAAACTCGTTTTCTTACTCTGTGAGACCACACACACCGTAGGGAAGAATGGGTGATTGGCAGTTTCTGAAATAATATTGGGAATTCCCTGCAAAATATATTGCAGCTCACATCACTACAGTAGCCAATGAATATAACACTTACAGTGTGACGAGTGAGAGTGCCTGTGACACATGTAATGGGAATATGGTTAAGATGAGACCTGAATTTTCAAATCAGAGAACCATCAATCAAGTCAAACACAATAGGAATATAAACAACAGAAATAATAGTGACTGTGGCCTACACTACAGTGTCTCTTGTCATCTCTGGAGTTGTTGGAACTGAAACCTGGGTCACCACCTCTGTAGCTACAAAGTTTGGCTTTTGAGCTCCGTCACCAAATTTTACACAAAGGTGCAATTTATATTTTTCTCCATAAAGATGTGTCTGGTGCTGGTAGTTGTCGCTTCTGAAAAAGAGCTAAATAGCTCAGTCAGCATTACCTGGTAAAATAACAATAGTTTAAGAGATTTTTAAAAGGAGAAAAAACATTCATTAACATAGAATACAAGAAATCATAGTAATTCACGACCCTTATCAATCCGCTATTGGATGAAGGCCTTCCCAGGTGTCAGTTGTGAAAGCTTTTATCATACTTTAGCATGCTGCTAATTGGCAAAAGTTAAATTTTTTTTATATAATTTTAATATATGTAAATATACTCCACTTGCACTTAAGCCAACGACATTTATTGTCGATGCACAAATGCTAAATTGATAAATGTTGCGTAAATGTTGGTTACATATGACCAGAAGTCAGTATGCTTAGTGTCAGTCACAATGGAATTACATTCTTTTTTAAATAATCATTTAAAATGAATGTAAATTTAAAGACATTACTCAAATATGATCCGCACACACACATCTGGAACACGTGCTTGTGGAAAACATTCTTAAGAACAATGTTCACATCAATAGTGAATGTGGTGTTGTTCAAAACCCACTGCTTGACAGATTGGTGGGGTTAGTATTTGTTTTTTAGTGCGAAAATATGGCATTACAGTACTGTATGTTATTTGACTGGTTATCAGCAGAATGCAATGCCTATTTTCATTACTATTAGCAAGTGTTGGTTATAGCTTGTACATACACTTCTTACATACTGATTTTGAAAAAGAGTGCTCTGCAATGTCAATATACCAGGTATTGTAATGACTGGAACGCTTAAGGAGTTTACACGAACGGTGTCATGATGGCATTGTGGTTCCTGAGTCTCTGCGTTGATTCGTAAGGGCCTTGCTGGAAAAGGTGGTGATAGCGAGGCACGGGGCAAGTGGGAAATAGAGGAGGAGCACCCTGCGGTGGCACAGCCAGGTTCATCCGACTCGTGGCCTGTAGGGCTCCTGCAGCGTGTGCCGGGGCTGGGGCACCAGCCGCGTTTCCGGCAGCGCCTGTAGCGGCTGCGGCAGCAGCTGCTAGGTGGACCCCCAGTTGACTGTAGGGAGGAGGGTGGGGTGCTGGCCCCGGATGGGATGCCATTGAAGGCTGGAAGACAGGCAGCCCTGCATGACTTACCCAGGCACTTAGCGTCACGCCACTGGTATGCGAGAAGACTGGCACTGCATGCAAGAGAGAAATAACTGTAAGATTCAATGTATTTGATGGCGTAATTATTTGCTTAAATTTCAAGCCATTTTATGTTCAAATGAGCATTGAGGCGGTGATCATCTCCTGTTTACGGCCCTGAGTTAATGGTGGAAATTACACATCCTTATGGCGAGGTAATATCTACCCATAGGACAACAACTGTTGACTTCCGTACAAAGTGGCACTCATTTTATTAACCCGAGAGGGATGATGGGCCGAGTAAACTCCCAAGCAGGATTTAAACTTGCAATCTTCCGATTATAAACCACTCACCCCACCTCTAAGCCACAGAGCACACAATAGTAAACAATTATACATCAAACTTTAGGGCGCTTTGTAAATCCATAGGAGGATGCAATCCTCCCCACACGATACTCCACCATGAGGGTGAAGAATGGAGGTGGAACCAGTTAAGATCTCACTCACCACCGTTATGGTCAGGAGCCTGACTGAGGTCGTTGGGTCTATAGCACACTGTGCTAACCACTCTGCCACCACAACCACCACACTTAGTGGCAACAGGGGGCAACAGTTTTCCCGCATTTCATTTGGAAATTGCTTAGTTGTAACAAAACTTGAGGATATTGTCAACTTCACCCATTCACACCTCATGTGAAACTGTATTGGCATCCGGGACACATGAAGTTATTCTCTGCAGACCATTCACACATCTAAGTTACTCATCACCCACACTCACCTTTGGACTGAGAGCCCTGATCGTCATCACAAGGGTAGACGTCATCTTCCCCAGACAGGGCCCGGATGGGCGACCTGGCATAAGTGTGTTTCTGTATCAAGCTCTCCACGCTGTCCCTGGCCCCATGGACACAAGATCCACACAGCCATGAGGTCGCGTCTTCTTGGGGCTCTGAGCCAATGCTTATCAACATGCATTTACCATCTATCACTGTTTGCTGCACATCAATGTAGAACACTTAACTTCACTTGCAATTGCCTTGGACATGTATCGATTTACCCACTCATTCAATAATCACCCTCATTCCATGTTGATATATATTTAACTTTATTGTATGATCAGTAATTCTAAGACGAGTTTTGTGCAAAATATATTTACATTTTTTATTTGTAAAACGTATTTTTGAGGCATTTTATAATGTGATGATTGTTTTCGCTGTAATTTCATTTATATTCGCTTCATTATTGCCCTTTAATGTTGCTTTTATCACTTTGGTGACCCAGGTCACTCACTCTCACAAATGAGACTAATCCAGGTCTCTTGAGTTCTCACCTGGTAAAACAAAATCAACTTGAACTTGAATCTACCTGACTGCCTTGTTTTGTTTAGATAGCTCTGCGCCAATATGCCCCTCCTTTAATGATCAATGTTAACACACAAGTTCTGCTCCAGCGAACAAAATGCCGTGTTCCTCTCTTTCTCACATTATAAACATTCTGACAGAAAATGCCACTATTTGAAACACGAGTGCAATCATACCTTTCCAGGTCACTGAGTCTTGAAGAGTCTCTGAACCCTTTTGCGAATGGGTTGCTATCGATCTTTAGTTTGGTAATCTGTACGCACAGTGACACACAAAGCATGGGTCAGGTCCATTACACAGGCTTGCTCTGATTTCATCAATATCTCAAACATTTTCACTTAAGTAATATGCTACTGAGACAGCTGAATGGTATAACATGCAGCAGCTGATTTAAATGTATTATTTCTGTCAAGGGCCAAATCGATAGATATCTTGAATATAAAATGTATGTCGTATTATAATTTATATCAGTTAAAACTCCTCCATTCACAATGGAATGCTTAGCTGTATAATAAATGAGTATTTTTTTATATATTTAATACACTTGAATGTTTTTTATAATGTATATATTCTCTTTCTTTACATCCGGTGAGACCAAACTGAATCAATCATCCGTTTTGTGAGGGAGCTCTGAGGAAGATGCAGGAACGATGCAATTAATATTAAATGAAAGAAACTTGCGATCTTAATCAAATAATTGATATTTAACATAAAACATGATATATTGCCTAAATATTCCAAAAAATATCCTAACAATGGCTATGGCTCTCAATGGAATAAAACTAACAATAACATTATCTTATTTAAATATCTACGGTCAAGCTATAGATTTGTAAAATAAATTCATTGCAATGATATAAAATCCCATACTGCAGTGGAGGAAGCAGCTAAGGTACGTGAGGAGGACAGGAAGAGGACTCCCAGACCACAGTGAGCCTCCTGCTGTCTCCATGGCGCTGGTCACCAGGGTTCCATGGCGCTGGTGACCAGGGTTCCATGGCGCTGGTGACCAGGGTTTCATGGCGCTGGTGACCAGGGTTTCATGGCGCTGGTGACCAGGGTTCCATGGCGCTGGTGACCAGGGTTCCGTGGCGCTGGTGACCAGGGTTCCGTGGCGCTGGTGACCAGGGTTTCATGGCGCTGGTGACCAGGGTTCCATGGCGCTGGTGACCAGGGTTTCATGGCGCTGGTGACCAGGGTTCCATGGCGCTGGTGACCAGGGTTCCATGGCGCTGGTGACCAGGGTTTCATGGCGCTGGTGACCAGGGTTTCATGGCGCTGGTGACCAGGGTTCCATGGCGCTGGTGACCAGGGTTCCATGGCGCTGGTGACCAGGGTTCCATGGCGCTGGTGACCAGGGTTCCATGGCGCTGGTGATCAGGGTTTCATGGCGCTGGTGACCAGGGTTTCATGGCGCTGGTGACCAGGGTTCCATGGCGCTGGTGACCAGGGTTCCATGGCGCTGGTGACCAGGGTTTCATGGCGCTGGTGACCAGGGTTTCATGGCGCTGGTGACCAGGGTTCCATGGCGCTGGTGACCAGGGTTCCATGGCGCTGGTGACCAGGGTTTCATGGCGCTGGTGACCAGGGTTTCATGGCGCTGGTGACCAGGGTTCCATGGCGCTGGTGACCAGGGTTCCATGGCGCTGGTGACCAGGGTTCCATGGCGCTGGTGACCAGGGTTCCATGGCGCTGGTGATCAGGGTTTCATGGCGCTGGTGACCAGGGTTTCATGGCGCTGGTGACCAGGGTTCCATGGCGCTGGTGACCAGGGTTCCATGGCGCTGGTGACCAGGGTTTCATGGCGCTGGTGACCAGGGTTTCATGGCGCTGGTGACCAGGGTTCCATGGCGCTGGTGACCAGGGTTCCATGGCGCTGGTGACCAGGGTTTCATGGCGCTGGTGACCAGGGTTCCATGGCGCTGGTGACCAGAGTTCCATGGCGCTGGTGACCAGGGTTTCATGGCGCTGGTGACCAGGGTTTCATGGCGCTGGTGACCAGGGTTCCATGGCGCTGGTGACCAGGGTTCCATGGCGCTGGTGACCAGGGTTTCATGGCGCTGGTGACCAGGGTTCCATGGCGCTGGTGACCAGGGTTCCATGGCGCTGGTGACCAGGGTTTCATGGCGCTGGTCACCAGGGTTCCATGGCGCTGGTGACCAGGGTTCCATGGCGCTGGTGACCAGGGTTTCATGGCGCTGGTGACCAGGGTTCCATGGCGCTGGTGACCAGGGTTCCATGGCGCTGGTGACCAGGGTTTCATGGCGCTGGTCACCAGGGTTCCATGGCGCTGGTGACCAGGGTTCCATGGCGCTGGTGACCAGGGTTTCATGGCGCTGGTGACCAGGGTTTCATGGCGCTGGTGACCAGGGTTCCATGGCGCTGGTGACCAGGGTTCCATGGCGCTGGTGACCAGGGTTCCATGGCGCTGGTGACCAGGGTTCCATGGCGCTGGTGATCAGGGTTTCATGGCGCTGGTGACCAGGGTTTCATGGCGCTGGTGACCAGGGTTCCATGGCGCTGGTGACCAGGGTTCCATGGCGCTGGTGACCAGGGTTTCATGGCGCTGGTGACCAGGGTTTCATGGCGCTGGTGACCAGGGTTCCATGGCGCTGGTGACCAGGGTTCCATGGCGCTGGTGACCAGGGTTTCATGGCGCTGGTGACCAGGGTTTCATGGCGCTGGTGACCAGGGTTCCATGGCGCTGGTGACCAGGGTTCCATGGCGCTGGTGACCAGGGTTTCATGGCGCTGGTGACCAGGGTTTCATGGCGCTGGTGACCAGGGTTCCATGGCGCTGGTGACCAGGGTTCCATGGCGCTGGTGACCAGGGTTTCATGGCGCTGGTGACCAGGGTTCCATGGCGCTGGTGACCAGGGTTCCATGGCGCTGGTGACCAGGGTTCCATGGCGCTGGTGACCAGGGTTTCATGGCACTGGTGACCAGGGTTTCATGGCGCTGGTGACCAGGGTTCCATGGCGCTGGTGACCAGGGTTCCATGGCGCTGGTGACCAGGGTTTCATGGCGCTGGTGACCAGGGGTTCATGGCGCTGGTGACCAGGGTTCCATGGCGCTGGTGACCAGGGTTTCATGGCGCTGGTGACCAGGGTTCCATGGGCACTGGTGACCAGGGTTCCATGGCGCTGGTCACCAGGGTTCCATGGGCGCTGGTGACCAGGGTTTCATGGCGCTGGTGACCAGGGGTTCATGGCGCTGGTGACCAGGGTTCCATGGCGCTGGTGACCAGGGTTTCATGGCGCTGGTGACCAGAGTTCCATGGCGCTGGTGGCCAGGGTTTCATGGCGCTGGTGACCAGAGTTCCATGGCGCTGGTGACCAGAGTTCCATGGCGCTGGTGACCAGGGTTTCATGGCGCTGGTGACCAGGGTTCCATGGCGCTGGTGACCAGGGTTCCGTGGCGCTGGTGACCAGGGTTCCATGGCGCTGGTGACCAGGGTTCCGTGGCGCTGGTGACCAGGGTTTCATGGCGCTGGTGACCAGGGTTTCATGGCGCTGGTGACCAGGGTTTCATGGCGCTGGTGACCAGGGTTCCATGGCGCTGGTGACCAGGGTTCCATGGCGCTGGTGACCAGGGTTCCATGGCGCTGGTGACCAGGGTTCCATGGCGCTGGTGACCAGGGTTCCATGGCGCTGGTGACCAGGGTTCCATGGCGCTGGTGACCAGGGTTCCATGGCGCTGGTGACCAGGGTTCCATGGCGCTGGTGACCAGGGTTCCATGGCGCTGGTGACCAGGGTTTCATGGCGCTGGTGACCAGGGTTCCATGGCGCTGGTGACCAGGGTTCCATGGCGCTGGTGACCAGGGTTTTATGGCGCTGGTGACCAGGGTTCCATGGCGCTGGTGACCAGGGTTCCATGGCGCTGGTGGCCAGGGTTCCATGGCGCTGGTGACCAGGGTTCCATGGCGCTGGTGACCAGGGTTCCATGGCGCTGGTGACCAGGGTTTCATGGCGCTGGTGACCAGGGTTTCATGGCGCTGGTGACCAGGGTTCCATGGCGCTGGTGACCAGGGTTCCATGGCGCTGGTGACCAGGGTTTCATGGCGCTGGTGACCAGGGTTCCATGGCGCTGGTGACCAGGGTTCCATGGCGCTGGTGACCAGGGTTCCATGGCGCTGGTGACCAGGGTTTCATGGCGCTGGTGACCAGGGTTCCATGGGCACTGGTGACCAGGGTTCCATGGCGCTGGTGACCAGGGTTCCATGGGCACTGGTAACCAGGGTTCCATGGGCGCTGGTGACCAGGGTTCCATGGGCGCTGGTCAATAGGATTTCAAGCTCCCGGAACGCCCGTGGGCCATTTCAATGTTGGCAGAACATTCCTGGTGAGCTCAACATCGCCATTGGCTACTCACTTTATCTACCTCGAGCTGCCTCGCAGCCCACCCTCTGCAGCTGGCAGCGAGGTGTAACAAACCCACTTTGGGGACAATTGTAAAGTCGTTCCGCTTTGCTGCTCCCTCAGTCCCCTCTCTATTTCTATATTAGGCCACAACACAAAGTATGCTTGCACCTGTACCTGAACCTTTTATGTCGCCTCTTGCTCCCATATGTTTGCACTCTTTTTATTTACGTACGTTGATGTCACAGACACATCCCCACTGGGGAGACAAAGGCGGCCGGGCATGGTGCTGGCCACCCAGCACTTTGTGTACTGTGTCGCCCTATATAGGTGCTCGCTAACAGCATTTGCGCCAACAGCCTGTGTCGGCTACACAGGGGATCTTTTTCACACGGGAATATAGCGCTTGTTTGCACATGTACCTCGCCTTCGCCTCGTGCTCTCATTATATTTGCACTTTTTATGTTCGTGTGTTTCATTTACGACCGTTATTTACCTTTTTCGTGAGTTGTGCAATATCCCTGAAGGACTCTGTACTAGTTCTCTGCAATTTTGGCGTTTCTGTATTTGTTTTGTTGCTGCTGTACTCAAGCACCACATATTTCCCTTGTAAAACAGCCAGGGGACTGGATAAACGGGACCATCTGTATAACAGATAACATACACTCAAACTCCATTATATGAGCGAATATTTAGCATATTGCTTCACAGTCACTTGTATAATATATTAGGGCTATAATTGTATATGTAAAGGAGACAACTTAGCTCTCATAGATGTCACACATTTTAGAAGACTGTGCCATGTTATAACTGATCTCTGTTTGACTTCAATCACGTCTATTTCTCAGATATAACAGAGTCACAGAAACTGTCTCGCTCCTGTTCCAATGGAAATGGACCAGGTGCGGTTCCGGACGAACTTAGCACAAATTTTAACAAAACTTTGGATGATTCCACCTTCATAACGAGTTGTGCAGTCAGAGTGATTCACGCCTTGTGTGAGTGCGTGACTTGAAGCGATGTACTGTATGCTCATAACATCAGGTAGCGTCACTCACCAGCTGGTTCTGGTACGCTGTCACAGCTGTGAAGACACTCTCCAGGAAGACGAATGTGCGGAACTCTTCAGACTTGAGGTTCAGCATGGACGCCGTGTGCTCCTTCTTCTTGATGATGTGGACACGTGGCTGATACTTGTGCATCGAGTTCAAGATGATCTGCAACAAACAAACGAGTGCACTCATTAGTAGGCGTTAATTGGAGCGTAGTGTGTGTATGTTGAACTTCCTTTGCACCTTACGTAAACAACCGTGCTAACCGGAGGTGTGGGGAAGGAAAACAAACTAAACACACGAAACAAGGGGACGTGAGTCTGTGTGACATGCGGGTCTGTATAGGGGGTGTGAGTGAGTGTTGACACAGGGAGTGTGGTGTGAAGGGGGTGTGAGTGAGTGTTGACACAGGGAGTGTGGTGTGAAGGGGGTGTGAGTGAGTGTTGACACAGGGAGTGTGGTGTGAAGGGGGTGTGAGTGAGTGTGACATGAGGAGTGTGGTGTGGAGGGAGTGTGAGTGAGTGTGACATGAGGAGTGTAGTGTGGAGGGGGTGTGAGTGAGTGTGACATGAGGAGTGTGATGTGGAGGGGGTGTGAGTGAGTGTTGACACAGGGAGTGTGGTGTGAAGGGGGTGTGAGTGAGTGTGACACAGGGAGTGTGGTGTGGACGGGGTGTGAGTGAGTGTGACACAGGGAGTGTGGTGTGCAGGGAGTGTGAGTGAGTGTGACACAGGGAGGGTGGTGTGGAGGGGGTGTGAGTGAGTGTGACACAGGGAGTGTGGTGTGGAGGGGGTGTGAGTGAGTGTGACACAGGGAGTGTGGTGTGGAGGGAGTGTGAGTGAGTGTGACACAGGGAGGGTGGTGTGGAGGGGATGTGAGTGAGTGTGACACAGGGAGTGTGGTGTGGAGGGGGTGTGAGTGAGTGTGACATGAGGAGTGTGGTGTGGAGGGGGTGTAAGTGAGTGTGACACAGGGAGTGTGGTGTGGAGGGGGTGTGAGTGAGTGTGACATGAGGAGTGTGGTGTGGAGGGAGTGTGAGTGAGTGTGACACAGGGAGTGTGGTGTGAAGGGGATGTGAGTGAGTGTGACACAGGGAGTGTGATGTGGAGGGGGTGTGAGTGAGTGTGACACAGGGAGTGTGGTGTGAAGGGGGGTGAGTGAGTGTGACACAGGGAGTGTGGTGTGGAGGGGGTGTGACTGAGTGTGACATGAGGAGTGTGGTGTGGAGGGAGTGTGAGTGAGTGTGACACAGGGAGTGTGGTGTGAAGGGGATGTGAGTGAGTGTGACACAGGGAGTGTGAGTGAGTGTGACAAAGGGAGTGTGGTGTGGAGGGGGTGTGAGTGAGTGTGACATGAGGAGTGTGGTGTGAAGGGGGTGTGAGTGAGTGTGACATGGGGAGTGTGGTGTGGAGGGGGTGTGAGTGAATGTGACACAGGGAGTGTGGTGTGGAGGGGGTGTGAGTGAGTGTGACATGGGGAGGGTGGTGTGGAGGGGGTGTGAGTGAGTGTGACACAAGGAGTGTGGTGTGGAGGGGGTGTGAGTGAGTGTGACACAGGGAGTGTGGGTGGAGGGGCTGTGAGTGAGTGTGACATGAGGAGTGTGGTGTGGAGGGGGTGTGAGTGAGTGTGACATGAGGAGTGTGGTGTGGAGGGGGTGTGAGTGAGTGTGACACAGGGAGTGTGGTGTGGAGGGGGTGTGAGTGAGTGTGACATGAGGAGTGTGGTGTGAAGGGGGTGTGAGTGAGTGTGACATGAGGAGTGTGGTGTGGAGGGGGTGTGAGTGAGTGTGACACAGGGAGTGTGGTGTGAAGGGGGTGTGAGTGAGTGTGACATGAGGAGTGTGGTGTGAAGGGGGTGTGAGTGAGTGTGACACAAGGAGTGTGGTGTGGAGGGGGTGTGAGTGAGTGTGACATGAGGAGTGTGGTGTGGAGGGGGTGTGAGTGAGTGTGACATGAGGAGTGTGGCGTGGAGGGAGTGTGAGTGAGTGTGACACAGGGAGTGTGGTGTGAAGGGGGTGTGAGTGAGTGTTGATACAGGGAGTGTGATGTGGAGGGGGTGTGGGTGAGTGTGACACATGGAGTGTGGTGTGGAGGGGGTGTGAGTGAGTGTGACATGAGGAGTGTGGTGTGGAGAGGGTGTGAGTGAGTGTTGACACAGGGAGTGTGGTGTGGAGGGAGTGTGAGTGAGTGTGACACAGGGAGTGTGGTGTGAAGGGGATGTGAGTGAGTGTGACACAGGGAGTGTGATGTGGAGGGGGTGTGAGTGAGTGTGACACAGGGAGTGTGGTGTGAAGGGGGGTGAGTGAGTGTGACACAGGGAGTGTGGTGTGGAGGGGGTGTGACTGAGTGTGACATGAGGAGTGTGGTGTGGAGGGAGTGTGAGTGAGTGTGACACAGGGAGTGTGGTGTGAAGGGGATGTGAGTGAGTGTGACACAGGGAGTGTGACACAGTGAGTGTGACAAAGGGAGTGTGGTGTGGAGGGGGTGTGAGTGAGTGTGACATGAGGAGTGTGGTGTGAAGGGGGTGTGAGTGAGTGTGACATGGGGAGTGTGGTGTGGAGGGGGTGTGAGTGAGTGTGACACAGGGAGTGTGGTGTGGAGGGGGTGTGAGTGAGTGTGACATGAGGAGGGTGGTGTGGAGGGGGTGTGAGTGAGTGTGACACAAGGAGTGTGGTGTGGAGTGGGTGTGAGTGAGTGTGACACAGGGAGTGTGGTGTGGAGGGGCTGTGAGTGAGTGTGACATGAGGAGTGTGGTGTGGAGGGGGTGTGAGTGAGTGTGACATGAGGAGTGTGGTGTGGAGGGGGTGTGAGTGAGTGTGACACAGGGAGTGTGGTGTGAAGGGGGTGTGAGTGAGTGTGACATGAGGAGTGTGGTGTGAAGGGGGTGTGAGTGAGTGTGACACAGGGAGTGTGGTGTGGAGGGGGTGTGAGTGAGTGTGACATGAGGAGTGTGGTGTGGAGGGGGTGTGAGTGAGTGTGACATGAGGAGTGTGGCGTGGAGGGAGTGTGAGTGAGTGTGACACAGGGAGTGTGGTGTGAAGGGGGTGTGAGTGAGTGTTGACACAGGGAGTGTGATGTGGAGGGGGTGTGGGTGAGTGTGACACATGGAGTGTGGTGTGGAGGGGGTGTGAGTGAGTGTGACATGAGGAGTGTGGTGTGGAGAGGGTGTGAGTGAGTGTTGACACAGGGAGTGTGGTGTGGAGGGGGTGTGAGTGAGTGTGACATGAGGAGTGTGGTGTGAAGGGGGTGTGAGTGAGTGTGACACAGGGAGTGTGGTGTGGAGGGGGTGTGAGTGAGTGTGACATGAGGAGTGTGGTGTGAAGGGGGTGTGAGTGAGTGTGACACAGGGAGTGTGGTGTGGAGGGGGTGTGAGTGAGTGTGACGTGAGAAGTGTGGTGTGAAGGGGGTGTGAGTGAGTGTTGACACAGGGAGTGTGATGTGGAGGGAGTGTGAGTGAGTGTTACACAGGGAGTGTGGTGTGGAGAGGGTGTGAGTGAGTGTTGACACAGGGAGTGTGGTGTGGAGGGGGTGTGAGTGAGTGTGACATGAGGAGTGTGTGGAGGTGGTGTGAGTGAGTGTGACACAGGGAGTGTGGTGTGGAGGGGGTGTGAGTGAGTGTGACACAGGGAGTGTGATGTGGAGGGGGTGTGAGTGAGTGTGACAAAGGGAGTGTGGTGTGGAGGGGGTGTGAGTGAGTGTGACACAGGGAGTGTGGTGTGGAGGGGGTGTGAGTGAGTATGACATGAGGAGTGTGGTGTGGAGGGGGTGTGAGTGAGTGTGACAAAGGGAGTGTGGTGTGGAGGGGGTGTGAGTGAGTGTGACAAAGGGAGTGTGGTGTGGAGGGGGTGTGAGTGAGTGTGACACAGGGAGTGTGGTGTGGAGGGGGTGTGAGTGAGTATGACATGAGGAGTGTGGTGTGGAGGGGGTGTGAGTGAGTGTGACACAGGGAGTGTGGTGTGGAGGGGGTGTGAGTGAGTGTGACACAGGGAGTGTGGTGTGGAAGGGGTGTGAGTGAGTGTGACATGAGGAGTGTGGTGTGGAGGGGGTGTGAGTGAGTGTGACATGAGGAGTGTGGTGTGAAGGGGGTGTGAGTGAGTGTGACACAGGGAGTGTGGTGTGGAGGGGGTGTGAGTGAGTGTGACATGAGGAGTGTGGTGTGAAGGGGGTGTGAGTGAGTGTGACACAGGGAGTGTAGTGTGAAGCGGGTGTGAGTGAGTGTTGACACAGGGAGTGTGGTGTGGAGAGGGTGTGAGTGAGTGTGACATGAGGAGTGTGGTGTGGAAAGGGTGTGAGTGAGTGTGACATGAGGAGTGTGGTGTGGAAGAGGTTTGAGTGAGTGTGACACAGGGAGTGTGGTGTGGAGAGGGTGTGAGTGAGTGTGACATGAGGAGTGTGGTGTGGAGGGGGTGTGAGTGAGTGTGACATGAGGAGTGTGGTGTGGAGGGGGTGTGAGTGAGTGTGACACAGGAAGTGTGGTGTGGAGGGGGTGTGAGTGAGTGTGACGTGAGGAGTGTGGTGTGGAGGGGGTGTGAGTGAGTGTGACACAGGGAGTGTGGCGTGGAGGGGGTGTGAGTGAGTGTGACACAGGGAGGGTGGTGTGGAGGGGGTGTGAGTGAGTGTGACATGAGGAGTGTGGTGTGGAGGGGGTGTGAGTGAGTGTGACATGAGGAGTGTGGTGTAGAGGGGGTGTGAGTGAGTGTTGACACAGGGAGTGTGGTGTGAAGGGGATGTGAGTGAGTGTGACACAGGGAGTGTGATGTGGAGGAGGTGTAAGTGAGTGTGACAAAGGGAGTGTGGTGTGTAGGGGGTGTGAGTGAGTGTGACACAGGGAGTGTGGTGTGGAGGGGGTGTGAGTGAGTATGACATGAGGAGTGTGGTGTGGAGGGGGTGTGAGTGAGTGTGACAAAGGGAGTGTGGTGTGGAGGGGGTGTGAGTGAGTGTGACACAGGGAGTGTGGTGTGGAGGGGGTGTGAGTGAGTGTGACACAGGGAGTGTGGTGTGGAGGGGGTGTGAGTGAGTGTGACATGAGGAGTGTGGTGTGGAGGGGGTGTGAGTGAGTGTGACATGAGGAGTGTGGTGTGGAGGGGGTGTGAGTGAGTGTGACATGAGGAGTGTGGTGTGGAGGTGGTGTGAGTGAGTGTGACATGAGGAGTGTGGAGTGGAGGG